AATACCGTTTATAAGAAAATATAAACTGTCATTATTATTAGTCTACATTGAGTACAATTCATTTGTGATGTTACGATGAAAATGCTGACAAAAGTATACACTTATTTTAAATTATTACCAAATTTGGATATAAATCAAGAATAAGACTCGATGCCGTATACACCAAAGTTATATGGGGGAATTACTTCAAGCTTTGTTTTTTTCCCAAGTACTTGTAATCCATCCAAAACATACTTGGGTGTTTTTGTTAATGCGAAGACAATATTTCTATATTTCTTGATTTACCCCATTGAATGACTAGTTATCATATTGTTCCCACGAACCAAAGACAAAAACGACTGCAACCATATAATTTAACCAAATTTATGTAATTTAAATAATACTTATCCATGCCTGTATAACTGGTGTGTCCTACACAGTTAGGAAAAATGCATTTTATTAAATTATTATTAAATATGTTTACTAATCGCATATGTAATTTATCATATTCATGATGCCTGTAAACTGGCGTCCCTCATGTAAAAACTGAGAATATATCATTATTATAATTGGCTTCTAAGAAAATCCTTCATCTGGCGTATTATTCAACTAAGTTGAGACTTCTCTGCGCGAATTCTCCTCTTACAGCCTATTAATATATCAAATCTGCCAAAGCTCCATTATTGTTCCCACTTACTCTTCTCTGAGCCTGTCAAAAATTATTATTTTGGGTTCTATGGGATTGTAAAGGCTGTGCATTGGGTCTCAAGTGCGCCTTTGACGCAGCTGAATGGCATTCTTGTCGATACGAACTTCAGTCTTTTCATGTGATTGGATGGAATCATCCTTTGGAGGCAATTGCAGTATTTAGCTTCTACCCACGACTTCATTGCTTCAGTAAAACGGGTGGGAAAGACCTTTAAGTCCCAATTCCATCTCATTTCAGGCGCATGCATGCAAGATCACAATAGAGAGTTAGAGATTTTAACCACCCACTATGTCCGCGGCACACACAAGCCTAATCAGTAATATGATTTCGTAAGATAGAAGCAGACATCCGTTAAGACGGACTACTACTGTTGTCCGTAAAATCATGATTAATGCAAGCAATAGCGTATTTAGTATTTACCTGCGGTTTGAACTTCTGTTGATATGTAGGCGATATTTTACTTTGTATTGTGATTAATTGTTGCAGTCGCTTCGCTTCAGGCTTCTGTGTGTCTAGTCACTGTGAGAAATTTTGATAAATTATCAGTTGCCTAAAGTGCCGTGATTGGAGGTTAATTTTAGTCATCATAGCCGACAAAAACACTAGACACTTCGTCACAACAAAGTCCTAACAACAGGAGGCACTGGTAAAACTTCTGTAATCGGCTTGACTTATCTGGCACGTTGGTTGAAATTTCGCTCGGTAAATATTTTTGTCAATAAGTTTTATTAAAATTGTGTCATATGTTATTCTGGACTGATAAAAATTCTCATTTCCTTACTAGTCAAGTTGATGTCCACGTTATGCGATCCGACTGCGGTACGGATTGTGGACAATGGGATGAGTATTCCAAATTGATCTCCAGAAGAAGGAAGGGTCTGTGAAAACCAGCGGGAGACATCAGAGTTATTTAGCCCCAGTATTGCCAGCTATTTTCCTAATGAAGACACTATGAGCAACACTAATCTTTTGATACTACCAAACCACCGTACAAGTACTATTACACCCACAACACAAACCGTTTCACCCTCTATAACACCCCTCCAAAATCCAATGAGTGATTGCTGCAATGGAATTCTATTTATTCTATTGAAAACAGGTGGTGAGAACATACCCATTATCGCCCTTAAGCCTTGTAATATGTCCTTTGACAGTCGTAATTACACATGGTACTGGGGACCACCATAATAATAATAATTTGCTTTATTCCAGAAACAGTACTGGTGGTACAGTGTGGAATTTTCAGCACATATCTACAATATTTGCATCTAATTTTACAAACATTTAAAAGGAGTATTAAACAAACAAAAAATAATAATAAATCTAAAGACACCAACAGCAAAAAAACAGGATAAACACAAAATAATTATAAATGCGAAAAAATACCAAGAAAGAGAAAGGAAAATAAACATCATATAATAATAACTCAGTATTGGGTAGTGGAAGCTATGATATGATTATGCATGGTGACAGTGAAGCTATAGTCATACAAGAAGTTATGAAATGATATTTAAGAATGTTTATCGCCAAGATGGTCAGTTAATTTGATTGAAACAACTGTAAACAATCAGAAAACAACATTTCAGGTCTAATGCAGTATTTGTAGTGGTAGTGTGAGTAATCCTGAATAATACAAAATTTTTAAGGTGGTGACTATGGCGTTCACAACCGGTGACTGTCAGTTTAATATTGCCGAAAAGTATAGAAAATAATCGCTGGGCACAAGTTCAGGCGAGCGCCGCATCAACAGCTGCCATAGTTACAGGAAAGATCATAGGCCAAGTTGTCGTCCGGTTGTGCCATTAACTAAACACACAATACCAGTCCTACTAAATATAGTATGCCTAATTACTCAAGCGGTCAGGACAACATCTGGCTTCTAATCACAGATAAAAAATGCGGATCGTAAAGATCCAGTTATTTTTCACTGCTTCGATGAGTTGTTCATCCGAATAGTATTAAAAAATTAGGGTTATGTGATGAGAAGGTTTGAAAACTTATCTGGCTGTTATGGCTGAACTACTGACTCAGAGTCTATACATTTTACCGGCACAACTAAGTGGCATCCGAACCTATCCAGATGTGCTCCACTTAAAGCAGTTTAAGACATCTGAATCGTCTGCAAGTGAACCACATGTGAGTTCGGTCACTATTAAGTTGATTTGGTCTAATCTGTGAATGTCATGTCCTTATTTTGGGATTTGCACTATAATTTTCGTCTACTTTGATGGTGCCACTGCTAGGTATGGTCAGGGTTTGTTTGTTACAACATTTTTCTTCGTCTTCAAAATGCAATCTGTACAATCCCTCACAAAGTCTAGTTCTTAAGCTAATGTCGTACGATTTCTGAGACCCTGTGTTTTACTGACTCGATCTTTTCTGGGAGGAGCACTCACAAGTGGTGAGAATCCGAAATACCAAGTCATCACGTGAACCCATGTTGAGTGAAGTCCTAGGAGAACTCAAACAGGCTTCAAGCAGTTCTAGAAATTCTGGAAGACTAGGCACAGGGCAATGGCATGTCTTTTATTTCTAAAAAATGCAGAGTTGCAATTACCCACCCAGACCCCATCAAAAGTACTCTACTTCTTGTACAGTCACAATATAGTCGCAAAATGGCCTGTTTGACGTGGGAAATATTGGATATAAGTGAACATTGGCCTGATGATTTGTTTGGGGTGCATATGGCATATACATACTTCATGCAAGTTCATGTGAGTTTGCACAAATCATAACGATGACATTATCTTGAAATGCAAAATACAGTTGTTCCCCCGTTATTTAGAGGGGATTCCAGTCATTTGGAAAGGGCTTGAAGACGGGTGTCCAGATGGTTACAAAAGCTACTTACAAGATTACAAATGACTAGAATCACCCAAACAAACCTGTTCTGCCATTAAGGCATGACAGGTTTCCTCAAGGTAATCCACAGAGAACAGCGCTTCTGGGAGCAGAGAATTTAGCGTTCTACTTTAGTGTTTCTCTTCGATACCCCTAGAACTCTTTACTGGCAGCTGTGACTGCTGCAACGTTCGTGGACAGCTTAAGGCAGAGGTCGGGAAGTAATACACAGACATTAAGGCTTCAGCACAGGTGGTTTACACTGAAACTCACAAACTACACCACCAATGACCATTGAAATTTTCAAAAGAATGACTATTGAACAAATAATACTCTTTTCGACAACTTCATTATGAGGTTCTACAGTTATATATATATTATGTATATAACTGTATATATATACATTATACATATATAACTATATATATATAGTTATATATATACATTATAGAGAATGAGTTAGTGTTATGAAGAACATTAATGTTTAAATAAAGTCGAATCAACAATATCAATGGATTGCATTCCAAAACCGTCAACATAATTGATCGTGCCTGTAAAAATGGCATGCATTTCATGTAAACTTACGCCTTTATACGAAATATATATATTATTATATTATTATAACAATAAACTGAATGTCATAAAAATTAAGAAAGATAATGACACGAATTCATGAATTTATAGTCTCTACTGAAGGTCAGAGCAGAAGAAGTGGCTGAACTTGCTTCTTCTGCACACAAAACACTGCCTGTTTAAGGCGAATCGCGGTAGCCTATGCTGTTTTGAGGATGCGGTACCTGGATGTTTCCGGCAGTTTATTTGGTACCTGGTGGCTTTGTGGCTGGTATGGACCAGATGGTCTAATACCGACCTACTGATGCTTCTCACTACAGCTTTACTTAGCCATACTGGTAGATGTTCCCGAGCGAGCACGAAAAATCAAGTTCCTAGAGCAACGGCCGATATAACTCTTTTGAATTGGTAGATACAATTGGAAGTGGTTTGTCTAGGCATTTCATCACTCAATCAAGGAATCTCCGTTGGTCGCGTGGAGATTAAAAACCAAACAACTGACGGGGAGAAGCGATAACCACGCCCATGGCAGCAACAGCATGGTCTTAATACACCGCATGCTACAAACCACAGGTAACCAGTCTTAGCAACATTCCCCTCACAGTCAATCAAGTCTACGTACGCTTTTTTCCCAAAGATCAGAAACCTTTGCTCCACATTCAAGAGGGTCTGCAAACAAATCAGTTTGGTCCTCACGAATACGCAAAATAGATACTGGAAATGCTGCCTACACATTTTGTTTATCTCATGCACTTGTAGATTACAGATTTTAAGCTCGTTAATTGAATGTTTACCTTGAGCGCATATTTTTATGCACATAAAAGTAGGCATCTGATCATGAAAAATGGAATTCTGGATATAAATATATCCTGATCACCACAAATCTGATGGTTTTTTGATGAGAAGTATCAGCGCAATGTCGTACAATCACAACTTAATTGATGAAACTATATTGTGTGTTAATAAGAAGCGCAATGAGAATTTCTTCCCTTCACCTATTCCAGATAGATTGTAAGCTTATTAGCCGGCTTATTCTCTCCAATTTACAGACAATCTGTCACTTCAACAACCATCCAACAGTGCGTATCATCGTATTGTGCATCAACACATTGTTTTACAATGTAAGTTATTTTTTTCTCCTAGTGCTTCTAGAAATAAACTAAGACACAACTACTTGGATTACTGTTCAAAAAGTTTATCTGATGGAAAACTGCCTTTCTTTGAGGTATATTATTATTAGTATGGGTGTAAAAACACTTTAGAAGAATCCTGACGAAATTACCGGAGAAAACTCACAGAACAATGAACATCATAACTGTGACCTGCAAAACAATCTTTCATCCAAAAATTTCACGACGAAGTCACTTCTGCGCCTATTTGCGCCGTCAGCATGGGTAAATATGTTATTTCTACTTTTCTTGGTTGCATTTTCGTATATTTCACAATAGTTAGACTTGGTGTGTTTTGTAATAGTAGTGCTAGATACAATCTGCATACAAAAAACTTTCTGCCCTTTTTTAAGTTTTCAGTGGGGCGGTCAGTTAGATATTACTCTTCCTAAATACTTTCTAAACTTCCGAAACTATCCATTCCGCTGAAGTTAATAAAGATAGGAGTAAAGTGATAATTAAAATTTGTAATCTCAGTAATAAGCAGCCCTTTCAATGTATGAAGCAGGATTTTAGAAGCAAACAGTTTCTGTTATTAACAGAATTACATTAGTGTAGCCTTACCATAGATTTCAAACTTTACTATGGTATTTTCTTAGATGGATTTTTTTATTTTTAATAAACAATGGAATATAGTCAGATCGTTGGGTTGAAGCTCTCCAGTTTCAGTGGAGGAATTTCGATAATGCAAGGTTATTCATTTACTATTCATATATGAAGTTTAGAGATCATTTGACACTTTAGTCCCTCTCTTTTGAATCCTTTCTCTTATTCCAATGTCTTCCTATGGACATCAGCTTAATGCGTGAACTATTCATATTATAAATGATACCTTAAACATACCCACACTTCTGAAAGCTGTGACGCAATAAAGTGCCTCTTTAAGTATTTGTCGCCCAGGAGTTATATAGGTGAAACCATCTAGCTAACAGTTTGAAGTCAAAACGACGGGCTCCGTTCAAGATTCCATCCCGCTCAGCTGCATTATTTCCTTGATCTTTTTTATTTCCTAAGCTGTTACTATTGGAGGTAATGCCTACTACATCTCAAGTATAAAACGTTTCTCCCCAAGAATACTTTCATAACCACTTTCAGTTTGGTTTACTGTAAAGTGTTAATTTTAGTTACGTCAATAAAATAGTTCAATATTGAAATGATGATTGCTTTGCTTCACTGGATATGACTTGTAATTATTGCCATGTGAACTCTGTAACTTACACCATATAGCTAGGTTTATTGTGGTTTAGACTGCAATTGAACTTCTTCATGATCTACGAAGTTTTTCAATAACTGAGTTATATTGCTCCATTAATCTGTTTCTGTCTACTTTATGAATTCACATAGTGTTGAACATAATTTGTTTGATTATTTTTAAGTATAACTATAAAATCGTCGCTCAGCACAAAGTGTCCAGCATCAAGGACTGCGTGTGTTGACATTTTTGAGAATTTATTCATGACTGCAGCTGTTATGTGTATGTCGTTGTGTATTCAAACGATTAATATTACGTTAATATTAGTAAACTTCGTGTGCTTTTTATTCATTTATTTACTTTTAATTTCATCGGAAATGTCCTATATTTGATCTAGAAAGATGCCTTTGAAGTTAGACAGCTAAGTCCTGGATGTAAATGGCCATCAGAACCAATTAATGGGACCAATAATTATTCAAATGCAACTCTTTATCTCTTAACAGAGTTTATTCAGCTGCGATTAGATGATGGTGATTTAGAACCTATATTTGGCTCTGCATTTATATATGATGTTCATTCACGTCTTAAAGTATCGGAAACATTCCATTTTGATGTGAATTCAAATAAACTAATGAATTTATTTTCCGGGAGCATGACAAATCAACAGTTGGCTTATCGTGATGCTAGCTCGTTAGCACAAAGTTGTCTTTTTCGAATGAGTAGTCGATATACACTATCGAGTTCAGCAGACCTAAATAACAATCCTGGACTAAAATCTCAACCGAAAACACCGCCATCTGGAGGATCTACAGATAAAATTGGGGTGAACATAAATAATGTTACAAATGACAATGAGTCAGACAGAAGTGATGAGTTTGGTCTCGAAGATATCCTGTCATTTGCATCGAATCGGGCTGAAAAGCAAAAACTCAATCCAAATAGAGTTTCCTGTTGTGAAGGTGGACTATTTCTTATTATCCGAGTAAGTTAGATTGAAATGATTGTTTTTACAAACTTCTTATTTTATTCATTTTTTACTGATAAGCGTCTTTCTTCTAGCACACATTTTCTACTTAATTAGTGCAGTGATATTGAAACTTGACTTTAGAATGCAAATGGTGAAGAGTGACATTTTAAGTCAGATTGCTTTGATTCACCCGGAGGTTTTGTGTTAAAATGTCAGAAGTTTCTGGTGATGTTTTGAATTTTGTTAACAGATCTCTAACTAGAATGTCAACTAATAGTTCTATCTTGATCTTCTCTTTTTACTACTTAAAGGTTGGGTAAATAGGTGCATCTCATAACAAATAATAATTGGCCATTTGATGACTCTAACCCAAATTTCCATGATAAGATATTAGTGAAGGGAAATGAGTCCTAGACGAACTCAAAAATTCTTTGCATAAGGAAAGTTTCATATCTCCTACGGCTATACCTCACCAGTAATTTGAAGATTTACTGCGCTTATCTATGCGCTTAAATAAAGGCTTATATTGAACTGATTGAATTTAGAACAAAATAATTAGAGCGAACAATTGTTTTCAATAAATTCTTCTTCAGGCTCTACATTTATAAATCCATTAATTTAAGCATACAATAGCCAGTAAAGGCAGATTAGAATCATATCAGAAAGTGTATTGTGGAACAAATATAAGATGGGATGGAACAATAGTCATATAGTTTTTTAATATGCATGGTCAATGAGAACATGGGACAAAATCAGATGAAGTAATTTAATTTAATGATGTGTGTATATATATAAATATAGTCAACAGAAATACAGGTTTCGAGAGTGTGTGTAATCAGGGTGTGTGAGACAATATGAAAATAAACCAACGAATGGGGCGGACTAGACATAAGTTCAAGGTTGAAAATAACGACAGTAAGAATGATTGTAAAATAATAACGATGATATGGTGTAAAATTACATGCACTATTGGTGAATGATTGTCAAATAATAATAATAATAATAATAATAATGAATATAATGAAGTGGAATGAAGAGGATTTTGTAAATACGATAGCAAGGTAATAAAATCATAAGAAAGGTCATGAAATCATAAAAGTCGAAAATGAACGATTGTCAATGAAACAGAGGAATAGAAGAAGAAGAAAAGAAAAGAAAATTGTGAAAGGAATTTATAGTGTTAATGGAGGATTTGTTGGCTTTATTGTAAGCCAAGGTAAACATAATGGTTGAACATACTTCTTCTGTATGCAAAGAGATGGTCTTCTGGTATTAATTGCCACCGCTTCAGCTACTGATAGAAGAATTTAGTCAATATGAGCATATTGTCTTAGGTCGGAGGTTAGTCTCAGAAGAGCTGGAATGAATTATCAACGTGAACTTTGTCTACAGGTGAATCACTCTCGGTTTAAACATTTTGAGGGAGCATATTTAAAAGTAGATAAAAGAAATGTATAATTGTTTTTCAATGTATTTTAAGTTCTCGTGACATTTCGAGTGTATTTTATTGAATAAATCATGATAAATCATGCCCTGACATATGGTTATTAAAAATCTCCTTATCGTTAGTTAGATTCGCTAGTAATACTTTCTCCTCGAAGTCAATAAGTATGTGATCGGTGTAGTTCAACTTGATCACTTCATTTGTCTTATTGCTAGAGGAATGCACTCTTTGGAAGAAAACTATTTCACTATTTCAGTGGTTCTTTGCTTCCGGCTAAACTAGAATTCAACCATTAGTATATGTTTTACCTTGGTATTCATGTTTAGTGTGTGTCAATCAATAAATAAGCAGGTATGCGAGAAATGAAAGTATTGACAAACTATTAACTACTGTATACTTTTTGTACTTTTGCTATTTTCTAAAGCGTAACCTGTAACCAGTCAAATCTCTACAAACCAACACTTGAATATCAATGAGATGCTCACTAGCGACTTGCCCTATACAGGTAGGTAGTTACCTGGGGTTCTAGTGAGAAGTCGTGACCAGTAGGGTGCAGCAGGTCGGGTGTGAGGACAAATACTCGCCACGGAAGACATTGGCTAGGGGTCGTGCTATGTCGTGAATTGGCAGAAGTCAGAATTCATGGGCTGGCCATTGGATTGGGTCCCAGTGGCTTAATGGTCTACGAGCTAGCTAGTCTTGTAACCAGAAGGTCCTGGGTTCGAACCCTGGTGGTGGGTGCGTACTGATGAAGAGTCCCAAACTAGGACGAAACAGTTGTCAAGTACTCCCAGGTTTTCCAATGGTTCTCTAACTAATGTCAGCTCATGATGAAAATCCTGTAACCAATCAAATCCCTACAAACCAACACTTGAATAAAGCGTTATTGTTGTGTATCGCTAGAATTTATGGAAGAAAATAGCAACTATACACATGTAACAGAAAGCAATGCAGCTTTCAGAGAGTTGTGACTGTTTAACTCCATCACTGCTTCATCTACAATTTATTGACATGGGGAATATTTTTAACAGATATTTTCGTTCAAGACTTTTGTCTTTATTCTTTTCCTGCATTTCCAGCAGAATTGCGGCATAAAGGTTAAACAGACTTTGTCTTTAAGCTTCCTAGAATTGCATTTTTTTTCATAATTGTATCGGCAATTTAGATAAAAATCGGAATAACCCCATATTATGGTCACTAATTTAGATAGTTACACGACAGCACAAAAACGTTTGGATAATCCGAAACTGTATCTTTTCAGGTGATACATGCATATCCGAACATTGTTCAAACAGACAAAAATTAAAATTAATATAATTCCTACTGAATTATGGAAGTTATTTCAATTAGTTTTTTTCCTTCACGTTCCCCAGTGGAACATAGGGCTTCAAGCTAGTGCCTTGAAGTTTCTGTAGCAGTGTTTATTTTACAGGATAGGGTTGCTAGCCTCATGCCCAACCTTTCCTCTTCACCAGCATTATTTCTGGCTTAGCGAGGTAAAGGAGTGCGTCGGCCGGGGATCGAACCCCGGACCATATGCATGGTTGGCGAGCATCCTAACCGCTATGCCACCGACGCACATATGATCCTTCCGCAGGATCAATTAGTTACTGTATTAAAATTGCATCTTCGTATTGATCCAACTGTTAAAGCAATGGAAGGTATATTTTTAGAATGGTGCAACTTCATATGAGCTGTTTACACTCTTCAGGGTCAAAGTATGAAATGTTCATTAAGCTGACCGCACCGAAACGTACTACACTAAGCTTAACTACGAATAGATACTACACTCAATCAAAGGATTATGTCATTTATATATATATATCTGTGTAACTATTTGACTATTTTCAATTAAACGAACTGCAAAATACCCTAATTACCTAACTAATAGCGTCGGCAATTAAACACCTGTCTACTCTCGTCAATAGTTACTGGTATTTTCTAGTTTTAATTTCATTTAACATTTACTAGGGGATCAGGAAAATTTCTAAGCAAAAAAGAAAGAGAAATCGTAGTTTCTCTTCTTTTCTCATGGCTTTATTCTGATCTAATCGATGAATCTGATGTCCTGTAGAAAAGTTTATTTCAAGGAGCAGAAACACACTTCTTACTGATATTGTTTAAAATTGTTAGCACTTTGTGTTTAACTCACTGCTAACAGATTGGTTGGAATGTAAGTGAATGTAAGGAAATGCTTGTCAGTAAACTTAATCACAGACAATAGTAATTTACATATATTGAAATAGAAGCGAAATACAATTGTCTTGAAAAATGTGTACTGGAAGAAACAGCACGATATGAAAAATGTTACGAATAAGTTGAAAAAGCTAAAGTCCTTAATTCGATAATCAATTTTATTTAGATTAAATCACCTAAAGAAGGCTGAAATTAAGAAAGTAGGAAATAAATTAATATGCGCATATTACTGATAAACCGAGAATGAATACATTAATATATTGCTACTGACCTTGAACTATGTATATCTAGTATGTACACACTGATATATATTTTGTTTTATTGATTGATTAACCCTTAATGTGGTTCAAAGCTAGAATCGAATACTATGTCTTCGAATGACTAAGAGGCATTGTTTTTACAGCCATTCGAAGTTCATATAATGCACTTGCCGAACTAGGCTGAAGTCGAGTCCTTAATCGAGTATATTTTGAGGCAAACCTTTGCAAAATTCCACTTCTATTGAGCTGTCGTTTAAGCGTCATTCATACTTCAAAAGTCGCTAAATTACATACTGAATGATCAGATATCGATTACAGAAAATTGATCTATACATTTTAAAAACTGAAATATCAAGCAGGTGAATAGTTTAGTTCTTATCTGTGTATTAGGAAGCTTTATGCATTCAGTCTTATGAACGTAGTTACGTCATTAGGAAAATAAATGGCTACCCACTACTGCCTGGTTTCCAATAGTTCTTTAACCGATTTCAATCAAACCTCTACAGATCGAAACTTGAAAATTAATCTTGTGCTCACTGATGACTGATTTTAGCATGAAGTCCCCTGAAGTTCTAGTGGGAAGTCATGACTAGCGACGTTCATCAAGTTGGGTCTGAGGAAAAATACTCCCGTGTAATATCGGCTGGTGGTCGCGCTATTTATCATAAAGTAGTAGGAGTTAGAACTAATAGGCCATTGGGTTCCGTCCTAGGGTATGAATCGTCATTAGGCTCTTCTCGTAACCTGAAGGTCCTAACTTCGATGCCTGGTGGGGAATGGGTGCGTACTGATGAACAGTCATAAGCAAGGGTGAAACATCCGTGCAGTATTCCGTGGTTTCCGGTAGTTCTCTTAATGCGGTCAGTTTGCGACCAATCTTGAAAGAAAAAAGTAGTTGAGAGCTTGTAAACGTTCGCACATGTCATGATCGAACTTTTAAAATTATCTCTTTCTGATTTACTTTCATCAAATGTGTCGAGTTAGAACACGATTCTCGTTATTTGAGAATAGGAAAATTTTTCAAACCTTAAATTAATTGAAATTCACTCACCCATCATGGTATTGTTATTTTTTTCTTCTTTTCTTTGCGTTCCTATGGGAACATAAGCTTTGAA